TGAGAGACTGAGAGACTGAGAGACTGAGAGACTGAGAGACTGAGAGACTGAGAGACTGAGAGACTGAGAGACTGAGAGACTGAGAGACTGAGAGAGTGATTCTGTGGAAGTGACCTTTACCTTGATGTCGAAATTGCAGTCCAGACGCCGGATCAGGACGATATATTTAGAGAGATTCCCGCTGGAGTGGGTGGGCGGCGGCGCAATCGGCATGCAGGCGTTGACAGGGTGGGCATCCACGAGAACACCCTGGGCCACAAACAGCGTGTCAGTACAATTCCCACAGGATCCGCAGGGTCATGACTGCACACAGCTCTGCGCCCCTCCACATCAGACCAGGGGAGGAAAGAGAAACTCTGCCCCAGACTGTACAGCCCAGAGTGGGGTTAATACCCCTCCTGTTACACACCATATCCTGGGGTCCTTCCCGATTAAGCAGTCAGCACTTCAGTTAAATGCCTCAGCTGTAGGATGGGATCCCCTATATAGCACTGCTCCCCCAGGTCACCATAATGAGGACCTGGCCTGGACATTCTGGCTATGGGAAGAGTGCCCCCTATTGGTCTACATACACCACTTAAGGCAAAAGCCTGCGCTTCCTTGGCGCAGCCCTGCATAGCTCTGCAGTCCTGCCGAGAACAGGCTGCTGGTTTTTCCCCGACTCCTCTTGGGAGGATGGAGGCCAGATGATCAGGCCAGAGCGTCCGAGCGGTCACCTCTTTACCCCCCCAGACCAGAGTGACCAAACGGTCATCTCCCCCCTCCTCACCGCCAGTCCGTCCTTGGGCAGCTGGTTCCCGAACAGAGCAGGGAGGTCATCGAAGCCCATGGTTGACCTGTTGTTGTAGTACTGCAGAGAGGAGAGAAAGAGAGAATGAGAGAGGGCATGAGGCCGCGAGGGCGAGGAGGAGGAGGAGGAGGAGGAAGAGCGGGGGCACACTCACGGCGTAGATATAGGCGTTGGTGTTGGGGGGCAGAGTCAGGGCGCTGAGCGAGAGCACGAGGCTGCACAGCCTGGCCGCTTCCCAGGACGCCATCGTCATGGCAACGCTCACCAGGTACGGCAACAGCAACTCCCCCTGCGTGCAACACAGCGCCCACACAATAAGCACCCCCCGTCTTCACCCCACTGACCCCCTCTATCCCCACACACACCCCCCCTGTCTTCACCCCACTGACCCCCTCTATCCCCACACACACCCCCCCGTCTTCACCCCACTGACCCCCTCTATCCCCACACACCCCCCCCCGTCTTCAGAACACTGACCCCCTCTATCCCCACACACACCCCCCTCTATCCTCACACCCCCCTCACCCAATCCCCCTAGCTCTGACCCCACAGCCCCACCTGACCTGAACTCTTGACTGTAACTGGCTGTTCACTACACTTACAGGAGGGATGGATGACAAGCAGTTAACACTGCAGCAGATGGGCAGGGCGCATCCTGCAGCCTGGGATAATGGAAGAGCACTTTCCCCGCACTGTGCATTAAACACACGTCTGTACCTTGGCTGTGGTCCGTGTGAGCTGCTCATCCGCTGACTGCCAGCTCCTCCTGACTGGTCACTCACTGCTCCAGCCTCCTCCTGACCACAGACACAGCAGCACACAAAGAGAGAGACACCACAGATTGGCTTGCGACTGGGAAAACGCTCATGTGATGGCTGGCTCTGAAATAAACAATGACAGACACTGAACCCTGAACTGAAATAACACTCGGCCTTTAGCCCTTCTTAAGCTTTTTTTAGCCCTGAAGTGGCTGGGGGTTTTCAGCTACTTATGTAAAAGCTGAACTAAAGAAAACAACTAAAACTCAGAATCAGAAGAAATCCAAGGTCAGAGGTGAGGGGACAGCCACCTAATCAAAGAATGGCGTGCCCAGGTGTGGGGTCAGAGGTCCTTCTCCTGCAGTCAGAGCATGGTGTGCCCAGGTATAGGGTCAGAGGTCCTTCTCCTGCAGTCAGAGCATGGCGTGTCCAGGTATAGGGTCAGAGGTCATTCTCCTGCAGTCAGAGCATGGCGTGCCCAGGTGCGAGATCAGAGGTCATTCTGCTCCCATCAGGCCAGCGCCGCATCTGGCTGCAGTGCAGAGTCAGAGCGTAACATGTCTGGCTGCAGCTGGCCTCGAGCCCAGAGTGCACTGAGCCCTTCCTCTTTCACAAGGTCACTTACTGGAAGCGAAAGAGTCCCAGGAATTTCACTTTGACACTTCACATGACGTTACGTACTTCATGGTGACTTTCAAAACACAGAAGCTCGCCGAGACGGAAGGAAAGGCCCACAGCAGCAGGGCCTGGGCCTGGCGCCTCGCCCTCTCCGTGCCCCGTCCCTTCGACTCTAGGGCTCCCTCGGGGGAGTCGGGGTCCCCAGAGCTCCTTCCCCATCAGTTCTGCACCGGCTCGGACTTTGACTGGGACGCCACCGCAGCTGCCCTGATCACACCATCAGAGCTGCGCCCACTGCACGCTGTCTGAACGCCCAGTTCCTTCCCCAGTCGGACATGCGTCCTGGATCTGCCGTCATCCTTCTGGATGTTGACAAACCACCTTGCCAGTGAGGATCCGAGGAGCTTCGGAGGCATCAGGGCAGATTCCCAAGAGTGCCCAGAAGGGCGTGTAGTGCCGGCACACGGGAGCAGACCCATTCCAAGTGACAGCAGACCTCATTAATCAGAAGACACAGAATTCCAGCTTCCTGGACCTGCGGCGGATCCCAGTCCTGGTTCTGGAGGTCCACACACTGGGTCTAATCACAGCTGAGCTCTCCGTGACACAATCGACCCCTTGACTGAATAAATAAAAGTACTGATTCGAACTGTTCCTCCGTTTTCAGCTCTAAAATATATTGGAAGTCACCTATTCACCCATGAATTCTGTGAGCAACCCTTCAAAAAACTTGCACGTGTTCCCATCTACCAACTTGTCAGCACAATTAAGGTTACAATTTAGCTGGAATGAAAACCAGCAGGTGTGTGTGGGGTCCTACAGGACCATGACTGGGAGCCCATGTGTAAAAGCTGGGGTGCCGTGGGTTCACTCAGCTCTCGAGTCAATGGGTGGCTTGATGGGACAGAGGTTTCCGGTCTCTAACACACTTTCACACTGTGAAAGTACTCTGTTAATACATGTCCTGAGGCAACTGCTGTATAAATACCTTTCAGACAAATCTGGCACCTAATTCTCCTGCCGGTGTCTCTTTACCACAGGAGGAAGATCAGGGTGCAGCCCTGCTAGACCTGTTTCCCCCCCCAACACGAAAACACACGGAAGGGCGCAGGCGAGAAGAGGCCACTTTGGCTCTGCCAGGAACCTGCTTGAACAGCCCAGCCTGTTCCAGACACCCACCACACTTGGTGTAAAGAAGCACCTCCCATTCGCCATCTGCAGAGCACTGCTGCCTGTGCTGTTACAGAAAGGAGACTGGCCAAGGGATGGCCTGCCCCATGATCAGGGCTACTGATCCCACCTGTCCACTGTGCGTCCAGGGACACTGCAGTTAACCCTTCTCCACTCAGAATCAAAGCCGAATCCCAGAATTCACTGTTAAAGTTTACTCCAGAGTTAGTGATCGCTCACAAACTCTTCACACGCAGCGTTTCTCTCAGTTCATTCACTCCTGTCTAGTGCACACCACATCCAAGCATCTTTATGATCACAACACTGACATTTTATGATCACAACACTGACAACCTGATGCATCTTTGAACACAGGGCCAACACAACACATTTTGGATGTTGTTAGCTTTATCTGACTTATACCATGATAATTATACTAACAGTAAAGACCTCACAGTGACCTGTACTATAATTATAATACTATCAGCAAAGACCCCACAGTGCCCCGGGCTGTGATATTACTAACAGTAAAGACCCCACAGTGACCCGTAATGTAATAATGTCACCTACAATAAGGACCCCACAGTGACCTGGACTGTAATAATGTCACCTACAATAAGGACCCCACAGTGACCTGGACTGTAATA